CATTATGTCAATTTTGCAATTCATATTATTTGTTAGGGGCATGAGCCGAGTGGCGCTAAAAGAGATTTGGACTTCAACTAGTTTTTTTCACTTTTTTTACACTTTTTGTCAAAAAACTTATTCTTTTTCTCTGACCTATATAACCTAACAAATTGGGAAATACAAAACAGTATCCTGTAGATTTGTTTATGTTTTAAAATATGTGTGACAATAAACATGTAAATTCGGTGACGATTTTTAAATCTTCCTAAATTTATTTAGTTGGAAATCTAAATGTGTTTTTATTAAATATCCAAAAAATTCAATTTATTTTTAATTTCTTTTCTTAGTTTTTTAAATACATGAATGTTGATTATAAAAGCTTATTTACACCTTTTATTAAAAATTTGAATTATTTCGAAAAGAATAACATGTACTGCAATTCTAAAGAATAACATGTACTGCATTTCTAAATAGTTCAGGAAGTAAATAAAAAGTCACTTTGAATTACGTGGACTTTTCCTAAAGGGACTGTACAGGAAAAATGAAAGGGGGTAAAGTCTGAAACCTAAGTATTTTAGGAATTGATCGAGACCTATAAGAGTTCTATCTAATGTTCCTGTCTCGAGAAATTGTTATAAAACAGTATCAAAATTATACCAAAACTCATATATGCAAGATTTGGTATAAGATTCTAAGTTTTAAACAGATCATATTCAGCAAATCTTATATATATAAGTTTTGGTATAACTTTGGCACAGTTTCATATCAATTTCTTGAAACAGGAACATCAGATATAGAACTCTTACAAGTCTCGTCAACTCCTGAAGTTCTTAGGTTTCAACCTATACCCCTTTCATTTTTCTTCACAGTCCCTTTAAGTCAACATCTTTTCTAAAAAATCTTGCATTTTTTGCCGACGTGAGAATATGATTCCAGACTCCGGTTAGAGAGTAAACACCGGAGTAGACTCTCTACTCTTCGCTAGTGTCAAAGTATATTCTCTTCTCTCCGCCCAGCTTCACAGAATATCAGTATTTAGAGATTTCCCGCTCCGAGAGGAGGGTTTAAGAAAATGTTAGATACATCCGAACATTTTCATCGAAATATTGAACTTTCCGAACCCATTTAGAAATTGCAAATATTTTGTTCAAAAGCAGAATGTTCAGGATCAAAATATTTAAAATTTCGCACAAAATATTATGATTCAAACAGTTAGCTGAGAACCCCTAAAACTCTGAAATTACGAAAAAATTCCGAACGGTATATTTTACAAAGCTTTTTTGTCCGTAAATCTTTTTTGTAATGTGGTTTTCCCAACGAGGTTTTAGTGTATAGAGTGATGATGTACACTAATCCTTATCTAATTGTATAGGCCAGGAACAGGGGGGATGATAGTTCTCTACCTGTGTGCTCAGTTAGCTGTACTGTACACTGACAACTGTTTACTAATATTGATATACTATAGGTTAGGCCAGAATCAACTTAAAATAAACAAATATGCAGTACGCTCTCGGTATAGTTTATGGCCTATAAAATTAGTAAAGGATTAGCGTACATCATCACTCTATACACTATAACCTCGTTGACCAGGAACTATACCGAGAGCGTACTGCATATTTGATTATTATAAGCAGATTCTGGCCTAGCCTATAGTATATCAATATTAGTAAACAGTTGTAAGTGTACAGTACAGCTAACTGAGAACACAGGTAGAGAACTATCATCCCCCCTGGGTTTTCTGATATAAATGGTACCATTTTCAGTGGTTAAAAATTACAAATGCATTTATTCATGTTCTCAAAAAATTTTTTTTTTTAATTATGTATTTTTCATTTCCATTTTCTTATTGTCTTCATAGTCTAATTTTTTTTTCAAACTGCAACTCGTAGAATCCCTAATTTTTACAAAAAAGGCCGAAAAAGAAAATATATGATTGCAACAGTTTTTTAGAATTTATTTTCTACTAAATAATATTCCCTTATATTTCCCTTTTGACCCTCTCCTCCCTCCCATTTTTTCCTTCCTTTCCTAGATATATTCCATCCTTCCCTAGATATGTTCAATCCTTTCCTAGATATATTACCTCCTTCATTTGATGTATTACATCCTTTCCTGGATATATTACATCCTTTCAAAGATAAATTCTATCCTTTCCTTGATACATTCCACTCTTTCTTAGGTATATTCAATCCTTTCCCAGATATATTCCATCCTTTCATAGATATATTCCATCCTTTCCTAGATATATTCCATCCTTTCCTAGATATATTCCATCTCCATCCATTCCTAGATACTTTCCTTCCTTTCCTAGATATATTCCATCCTTTCCTAGATATATTCCTTCCTTCCCTAGATATATTCCATCCTTTCCTAGATATATTCCATCCTTTCCTAGATATATTACATCCTTTCCTAGATATATTCCATCCTTTCCAAGATATGTTTCATCCTTTCCTAGATATGTTTCATCCTTTCCTAGATATATTACATCCTTTCCTAGATATATTCCATCCTTTCCTAGATATATTACATCCTTTCCTAGATATATTCCATCCATTCCTGGATACATTCCATCCTGTCCTAGATACTTTCCTTCCTTTATTTGATATATTACCTCCTTTATTTGATGTATTACATCCTTTCCTAGATACGTTACATCCTTTCATAGATAAATTCTATCCTTTCCTTGATACATTCCACTCTTTCTTAGGTATATTCAATCCTTTCCCAGATATATTACATCCTTTCCTATCTAAATACGTTCCACCCTTTCTAAGAAAATGACGACCTACATAAATTCATTGATTTTACACCTAATTTCTAATATCTGCTCATGTTATTGTGAAAGTCTCTGAGGGTATTTTACTTTTGATAAATGTATTGTAGGATAATGTAGGAAACACTATTTCTATTAGTTTTCCAAAATCTAATTTACTGTCATCATTTTTCTGTGAAAGGATTGTTTTGAAAGTTTGTTCACCTTTTAAGAAATAATTTAAACCCAACATTTTTGTTATTAGGACGCAGCTAAGCCTTCCTTGCCCCTGACAGATTTCCCTGAGCTTTAAAAATTTTCATTCTTTTTTTGTCTTAATGCATAGATAAGGTAAACCATACAGGAAGAGAGTTTTAAGGTAACAATGAGCCGGGGGTCTAAAAGGCAAATCAAATTTGGATTCGATCGCTACTAATGTTTAACTCTACAGCGTTCTTAAGGAAATATGCTTTATCAGAAGAGCGGAGAGTTCATTTAGATTTTTCAAATTGCATGATACCACTTAAACAATAAATAATTCAATTATAAATATAACTGAGACCGTATTTACAGAATTTGAGCCGCGGCTTAAATTTAAGCTGCAGCTCAAATATGGTTGGTTTCACTTAAAATTCTATTAAAGTTTTCCATTTTTAAGCCGGCGCTCAATTGAAACCGGTTTTTGGAGGATTTGAATCGCGGTTTAAATTCATTAATTTCGGACACTGGTCATAGATATTACCATAAATAATTAAAATTCAAATTTAATAATATATATATATATATATATATACATATATCAGCGAAAACGCAAAAATCTTCTTATAACGTTTTATTTAACACAGTGTTTTATGCATATTATGCATCATCATTTATACAAATATTTATGCTATAAAGCAATAATCAGCTTCTCAGTTTTTATATTTATTTATACAAACTGTTTCATATCTCTCGATCCTCATCAGGCAATAAACATGGTTTAACTGATGCTTTATAAATATATATAAATATATATACATCTATATATTTATATATAAGAGCGAAGAGCTTATCATATAGATAAAGAGACGTTTTTTAATAAGCGTAAAAGTCATATTAAAATTTTTATAATAATACTTTTATGTTTTCTTCAAAATTAAATTTGGAAGCAATGATTAAACAGAATAAATGCAAGTTAAATTTCTTGAAAGATCTTATTCTGGCTATTTTTTAAAACACTGTCAAAAGTCAAATGACTCTCCACTTTTGGAGGACAGCACCCTAAATAAAAAGATCTTCATGTTTCTCTGTTTAAAAATAAATATTTTCAACTGTTTTGACTCACTATTTCTGTAAACTCCTATTTAAGGGCCACTGGAAATTAATATATTAACACGGAAAAGAATTTGATCGCAATAAAAATTTTTTTCAATCATCTTAATTATGAAGTTTTACAAGAACCCCTTCCCTGTGTATCTCTGCAAACCTAGAATTCAAATTTAGAAACGGAAATCGAAATTTGCATTTTTCTAGCAAAGATGTGGGCCAACAGAGATTCCTATTTTAATTATTAAAAATATATATTTTATCATCAAAGTTTTGATTATGTTAAAAGAATAAATCTTAACTACAAAGGAACCCTTTTTGAATGAAAAATGTAAAGTTCAAATAAAATCCGAATTTTCAATTAAATTATTCAAAGAAACCTTCTCTGCATAGAGAATAGAAGGAATTCAAGTCTAGAATAAATTTTTAATTGAACTTTGTTCATTTTTGTCCTTTTTTTACTTCGTCAAATGTCTTATTAAAAACTTAAAAACAGAACATTCGTTGTAGATTCTTAATATTTCAATTAGAATTAAAATGCTTAAAATTTAGGGGATAGAAATTTAATCCTATACTTTTCTTGAGAATATTTAATATTTTAACAAAATTTAGAAAATTTAAAGATCTAATGAATTATTTTCAAGTATGCTCTTACCTGTTGATGTTAAAATTGAAATTTATCAACAATTATTGTGTGTGGGGGGGGGGTGATTGAATTAAAATTTTCAAGTTTAATTTTCGTATTTCACTGTAAAGGTATAAGCACATGTACCCGTACATATGTACATAGTGTCTCTGAAAAAAAGTGCATTCGCTGTCGTAAAAAGTTCTTTTGGCCTCCAGGGAGTACAATAATGTATTTATAAATACATTAAAAATGTTACACAACATGTTTTTTCTTCATACTTTAATAAGAAACAAAATTTTTATTATTTTTCAAGCTTAAACGGGGTATAGAAAACTGGGTAGAAAACTCGGGAGAAAACTCGGGAAAAACTCGGTAGAAAACTTGGGAAAAACTGGGGAAAAAACTCGGTAGAAAACCACAAGGCACAGATTATACAGATTTAAACGTTCAAAGGTCGGAATTAATGAATATTGAGAAGTGGTTGAACTAAGTACGGTTCGTTTAACAACTTCTCTTGAATGAACAAGAAGTAGTTCAACTATCAGTACCTAGATAAAACACTTATCATTAGTATCAACGTGTCTGTACTTTCAACCCCAATCAGATTGATCTTCCATAATATATTCCGCTAACAGATCGAAACTTATAAAAGCCATAGTAAGTTTCGAGCGAGAAAGTGTTTTAGTTTATAAATAAAAACCCTTGAAGTAAAAATATCTGAGATCAGATAAAATGAAAAATGATAAAAATGATCCTTAATGTGAAGATCTATGCTTGATCCCTTCATTTTATTCATCCCTGCAGGGGATGATCAACACGGGCGGGATACCAGAGAGAGAGCTTAAATTAATCCTGCCTAAGAGAGAGATCAATGCTTGATTCCAAGATTTACCAATCAAAATGTCTGACTTCTGAAGAAATTCATTTTAAATGTTTAATCCCGGCATAAAGTATTTCTTCTGAAATTAGACTAAGATTGTTTAGTTTAAAACAGGATATTTGAGAAAAGGAAAAAACGGTAACATTAGTCAACATTCTCTTTGTAAATGTGGGCGCAGTTATTCAGATGCTCAAATGAAAGGCAGGATAAGGAAGGATAAGGAAGGATAAGGAAGGATAAGGAAGGAAAGGAAGGAAAGGAAGGCGCGCATTCAATCAGGTTGAACAATGAGAACGCACTTTGCAGATGACACACTTTATTTAGATGTAAAAATGAAGCTTTGCACTGAAAAAAATGATTCCTTTTCAAAAGTGTCATTTTTAAATGAAAAGGGTAGAAAAGAACAAATGTGTTAATGTAGAATTTCCATCTAATTTATTTCATATTATTTCATCAAAATTTTGAGGACCTTATATTAATATATCTGAATGAAATTTGAGGGTTGGTTAGCAATTATCTATTTTCACATTTTTTCTGCTAAATTTTTTTGTGTTACCACGTGAGTTTAAAAAATGAAAACAATGTTCCAAAATATGGAAAAAATATCATGCCTAGAATGAATGAAACAAATTTTTTTGGTGTAGAAATTTATTAAGTATAGGGCTAAAAATGCATGATCCGTGCCTACTGTATATGCAGTTCGTTGTACTGTCCAGACAAGATACCCAGTGCAGATTCGACCAGCCCGTTTTATGCAACAAATGTAGCCTGGTAGTGATCACACCTGATACAGTATGTATTTATACTTAATCTGTATAATATACATATATGTGTATACTTTTTAACTTTTATTCCCAACACTATAACAACAACAAAAAAGAAATATAACAAATCTGTGTAATCTGTTATTCAAGTATTGGCCGGGATATAATGAGGCGGGAGAGATGAAGGTGAACAATATATTTTATAAAAATCTCTTTGAATACAATGCATCCCCCTCCTAAATTTTTAGATGCGTAGCATTTCTAAGTTTTTGAAAGTCAACTCGGATTTATGTCAAAACTTGGTCAGATTTTCTGTGAAAAACTGAAATAAATGCAAAAACCATTTTTTCAAATGAAAATTTCAAAAGAACCAATAAATTCATAATTTAAAAATAAGCTAAGTTTTTACTGGTTTTTGTCAAATCTTAAGCGGAATGTTGTCAGGCAAAAACTGAATTACATGATTTTTTTTTTATAAAAAACTAAGATTTCGTTTATAAAAGTGTACTCCGACTCTTCGCCTTTAAACAACAGAGTATCCCAGTTGAACTAAGCTTAAAAAGGACCGTCACGCCCCTCTTTTTATATAATAATTGCAATGTTTTATTTTACTTTAACAGTTGCCATTTTTCATTGTACATTTTCCATTGTTATACATTATATAAAAACAAACTGAAGTCAGACTTACGGATTATTTTGTTTCTTAAAGCGGATTTAAAATTTTTTCAGAAATCAAAATTTTTTGAGTAAAAAATTCATCTTTTCAAACCAAAAACATTATTTAAAAAGTTATGGGACCAAATTTGGGTTCAGCTGAAGTGTCTGGTTTGATTTTTGAAAAAAAAATTCGAATTTTGTTCAGCCTATTTTATCCCAGGAGTACTTAAGGGTATTTTGTTCAGCCTATTTTATCCCAGGGGTACTTAAGGGATTTTGTTCAGCCTATTTTATCCCAGGGGTACTTAAGGGGATTTTGTTCAGCCTATTTTATCCCAGGGGTACTTAAGGGGATTTTGTTCAGCCTATTTTATCCCAGGGGTACTTAAGGGACTTTGTTCAGCCTATTTTATCCCAGGAGTACTTAAGGGTATTTTGTTCAGCCTATTTTATCCCAGGGGTACTTAAGGGTTCCCCCAAAAAAATTTTAGCCCATTCGGTCCAGTCATTTGGCCAGCCATAGCTAACATATACACAATCAAATATATATAAAATTCAGCCCATTCGGTCCAGTCATTTGGCCAGCCATAGCTAACATATACACAATCAAATATATATAAAATTCAGCCCATTCGGTCCAGTCATTTGGCCAGCCATAGCTAACAAATACACAAGCAAATATATATAAAATTCAGCCCATTCGGTCCAGTCATTTGGCCAGCCATAGCTAACATATACACAATCAAATATATATAAAAGTGAAGATTTTTACTTTATAGATATTTGGTTTGCCTAGAACATTTTTTATTCGAATTTCAAATAAATCCGTGCAAGTAGCAAACTAAACTAAACTAAAAGCCTAATCTGTAAAATGATAAAACTACGATTTAACCCCCAACCCCCACATTTTATATATATATTGTTGGTGTGCTAAGGATGAAAGGGTATGAAGAAGGTTAAATGGATTCAGATAAATCTTATCCTTGGCATTCTCCTAGTTAACCCCACTCAGGGTTCAGGTCAGTTTAAAGATACCATTGAATCAATCAATTGATCGATAATGCAATCAAACTTTATTAATCAATCAACCAAATCATTTATTTATCAACAATTCATCCATTCGTTTAGTTAACCCCCCACTCAATAATCAATTTATAAAATAACCAATTTATAAAATAATCAATTTATTAATCAATTAATTTATTTATAAATCAATTTATTAATTAATCAATTTATCTAATAATCAATTTATGTAATAATCAAGTTATTAAATAATCAATTTATCAAAAAATCAATTTATCAAAAAATCAATTTATCAAATAATCAAGTTATCAAATAATCAATTTATCAAAAATCAATTTGTGAAATAATCAATTTATTAATCAATCAATTTATTTATAAATCAATTTATTAATCGATCAATTTATAAAATAATCAATTTATTCATTAATTCATTATTAAGCAGTTATTAATTCTTTTTTCATTATTTATTTATTTTCGAATTTAATCGATTGAATATTAAATAAATTTATTTTCAGACCATGTAATCAATATTAACATTTGGAAAGTATATTTTCAGAAAAGCTGCCAAAATATTGTATTAATTTACATTAAGCTCACTGAAGAAACTAAACCTTCAGATAAACATAATAAATATATTTCAGCGGATCAGCTAAAATGTTACACAGATAAACAGGGTCTCAAATTTGCCTGGTGTGAGAAGCAACTAAAGACCTGCTACACAAAATTTGATAATAGTAAGTATAAATAGTCTAGGATGCAGTGTTAATCTATATAATAAAGCTCTTCGCTCATATATATGTGTGTGTGTTAACAATAGTTTGCTAAACGGCTGAACCGAATTGGATGAAATTTCTTAAGGGAACGATTGAATATACACCGAGGTGAAAATACTAAAAAATCGAAATTTTTTTTCAAGTTTTTAAAATTTCACGGGCAATTCTTTTAAATTCGATTATTTTACTAATTCCACGGGCAACGCCGGGCACTTAAGCTAGTCTCTAATAAAGCTCTTCGGTCATATGTAAGCTAAAGCTAGCCTAACAGCTGGACCAAAATGGTCAAAAAAAAGTTTTCTTTTAATTAATTTTTTTTCCAGAATCGAATTTTTTAAATCGGGCAACGCCGGGCACTTCAGCTATAAAAAAAAACATAATTCAATGAAAACCCAAATATTTATTTTTATGTAGAATTAACTTCTAAACAATATTTACATACTACAAAATATGACTCCATAATGACCATAAATTTGTTTAAACGGTTTTTTTTAGATGCATATCATTTACTTTGTATTTTTACAAGCAATTCAAATTCGATTTGAGTTAAAAGCATTTTCTGTATTTCTGTATATCTAAAATTATGTTATTATGTATTTCTGTGTTTCTATATTTCCGTATATCTGTATTTTCATATTTTATTTTAGAGGGTTTAGTCATGGGACGTGGTTGCTCGAGCCGGCCCGGTGTTTTCCATACACAATGTGACAGCCATGTTGGATCGGATCACAAGGGTAATATATCAAAAGAAATTAAATATTCTTATTCTATAATATTGAGAAAGATATGAATCATGTCGCCATTTTCTATATTTTCCCCTGTTTATCATCTATTCATATTTATCAATGTGTCATGGCTGACATTTCCCCTCAACTCATTTGTTTTTGTTTAGAGATATTCTGCTACTGCAGCTACAGTCTGTGTAATGGCGTGGGTGCGAGCCAAACCAAACATATCCCGTGGTTTTCCGCCATCTTGTTTTCGTTGTTGCATGTAACTGTTTCATGGGCATAAATTTATGCTCAAATAAATCATGAAAAATTTTAAGATTTTTTTCTATTTCAATCCTTTGTTCGTCCAATCCATAAGGCTCACTTTCCTTAAAAGTTAATTCAAATTTTTTATCTTTTGATTTAGAAACATCTCTTCTGCCTTGAAAAAAGTATTCGAATTTTTCACTACCTTTTTTTAGCATCAAAGAGGAAGATATCATCGTTATTCTATCTAATAGGTTTTTAATTTTGTCAATTTCAGTCTTTGTCTCTGTTGCAGAAATGTAAAAGCCACTCTTACGAAGAAACCACAATTGAAAATTATCAATACTTTGATCGAACCAAGGTTATTTCAGAGGTGTACGCATCTTTTGTACTGCAGAGTACTTTCTCTGGGCGCTAATGTAAACACAGTCGGATGTTGAAGCCTGACATGGGATCCATCTTTCACATAAAAAATCAATGAAATATTCTGGTCCCAGGAAAATATTATGCGAATTATCAAAATTATCAAAATGAAATGCGTTTATCCTCCTTGGATACTAAACGAACGCTGATGCATCTATTCATGTTTACAAATTCCGCTGAGAGAGAACTGGTTTCAATATGTGCGCACTGCGCAGAGCATACGCTACTGGAATTAACTTTCCTTGCATTACAACCTTTGGATCGAACAGAGACATCTTTAATCTTTTTCTCTGAGATAATTGGTTACACAGTATACCGGTGTAAATGATCGGGCAGTTCCTCTTTAAATGAAGGATCATGTTAAGTTACCAATACCATTCCTTTAACGAGTTGTAAAAAAATAATTGTTGTATGCGTATTACAACAAAATTTGGCTCTTTCGGTTCAGCCGTTTATAGAACCCTTACGAACAAATCAACAGCCAAATATACTTACATGTTGATAGAATAAGATCTGACAAGTAAATTTTTATATTCTGAAAGCATTTATTTTATTTTTATATTTCAAAAAATCAAATCTAACATTTTTAGAAATTTGACAATTTCCCGAAAATTTTTTAAAGATTCATCAGCTCGAGATCAAACAGTAAATAAAAATTTAAAAAATCGGAATTCAGACAAAATATTATTTTCACACAAAAAAAAAAAAAAAATATTTCATTCCATAAAACTGTACAGAAAGAACCAGAAAACTGTGGAATAGGAAGACGACATTAAAGCATTAAGTACACATAATCATACTAGGATAAAAAATTTGTTGTGCTGCACCGCTTTGACCGTCTATATAGTCTGTACACTGTATGTACTATGGAAATGAAAATACACTGTACAACTTGCTCTAGTTGCATAAAAATCGGTCCGGTATGTTAAATTAACCAGAGTTTTCAGTAAAAAAATACAAAATAGAGGGTAAAGTGTGTTAGATTAAGTTTGATCACTATTATAATATAAATATAAGAAACCTCCAACACTTAATTTCTAATGTCTCATGTCTGTCCGATTCACGATAGTTTTGTGGTATTCAAATGGTGTTTATATAAGTGAATTGTAGAATTCTGGTACAAAATTATTAAAAGAATCGTCAATGTTCAGTTAAGAAATCGTCAATGTTCAGCTAGGAAATCGTTTACTTGAAATTAGGTCTACATCACCTTTAAATTACAAAACTAATAAAAGCGCAATTTCATCTGGGGTACTGGGGAGTTGAGAGGGGAAGGGGGGTATTGGGGAGTTGAGAGTTGGAGAGGGAAGGTGCCGTGGGAGGGGTAGGCTTTGAGATTAATATATCTTGGCTTGATATTTATTCAGTGAGTCTTTAGCTTCAAACCTTCCATATGATTAACGTGTTGACCAAACTTTATAAATAACATGTTGGATCGACATCTTATAGGCTTTAATCATAACTCTTCTTATTGAAGAGCTATTGGGGAAAACGAATGTTCTGTATTTTTGAAGTTTAGACAGAAAAAGTTGATTTTCTCATATTAACGCATCACAAAGGCGTATAACAGTATTGTTTCCTTGTGTCTAGTTTCCAGTTTGGAATATTAATTATTTGCTTTACGAGACAAAAATGTAGATTTAATTAAACTTAATACAATTTGCAACGAGACACATGCATGTAAATAATATTATGAGGTTTAAATATATTTTTTTAATTTGAGTTTTTCTATTTAATTAAATTTAATACAATTTGCAACAAGACACATGCATGTAAATAATATTATGAGGTTTAAATATATTTTTATAATTTGAGTATTTCTATTATTATTTTTGCATACTTTCTAATATTAGGACGTACGGTATAAAATACTAATATAAAAACCTAGATTTATGGATTATAGATATAAGATATATATTGATATAGATATAGATAAATATATGATATATGTTGATTTTCATTGATTTGGCAGAATCCGGAATTCAGCTTATCATCTCACTGGACTTAGGACTCTGATCTTCGATTCGAGGGTATAACTTATTTTTAAAACTTGGTAAGGACTGTGTATAAGCGTAATTTCAACCGACACTAAATCCATGCAAAAATGGTAATAACTGATTTACAAAGGTACCCTCGAAACATTTGTTTGATCAATTAAGAATTAGATATTCATGTATTTGTTTTTCAAACTGTTTATTTTCATTTGCGGTTTCCCTTCAAAATGGAGAATTTATCAGTATTACACACTTTTTGAGTCACAAAAACGACGGTATCTTCTTCATATTTAATCAGATTAAGGTTTCAAGGATACTTTGCAAATCGGGCATTGCCATCTTTCCATGGAGGGTCACTTGAAACCACAATTTAAAATAATCAATTTTTACAAAAACAAGAACATCTCCGTCATATGATCTTAGAATGAATGAATTAAGTGAATCGGGCATCTGGACAAAAAGTAACTTTACTACTTTAAACCAAGCCATTATGCTGGAGTGGTTCATTGGTTAATTACAAACATTTGTCTGATCAAGAAATGATGAGATATCCTTGTTTTCAGTATAAAAATTGATTAATTTCAATTGTGGTTTCTCTAAAAGTGTCAAGAGAGAATATTATCGGAATTCAACACTTTTCATGAGCAGAAAAATTCGATTTAAAAATTAAAAGTTTAAAACACAAATATATTCAACCTGCTAATATTGAAAAGTCTCATCAGTTTTTAAGACAGGGTCGACTTTGAAGTGTCGCAACGCCTTGGGCTTTGATTTTACCGTTCTAACTTACTTACGATTTTCTGTAGCACTTTACATGTACATTTTAGAACTATAACTTTGTTTATTAAGAAGTAATTGGCAAAATTCTTATCAATTTTTGCTTGAGAGCTTGCAACCTTTAAATCACAGTGGACAATCGATCTATAAAGCGGGGATCTGTTAAAATTACGCCTACAGTCCCTTTAAAAACGAAATGAAATTGATAAATCCTGGATCTGAGTTTCCTACAAATATAAATCTGAAATTTTCAAATTCCAGCAAAATTAATTATTTGCAAGTTCATCAAATCTGTTTAGATATTTTATATAGATATAGATAGTTATATCTCAATATCAATATTTCAATCTTTTCCTTCATCCATGAATATTAAAATATCCCCCTTCTCTAATCTCTAAGCAATATCATTTAAATATATAATATTAATAAATTAAATATGTACTATAGTAAAATATAGGTTTTCATATACATTTAATTGTCCCAAAGATATGACATTTCTTGGTTCTCCCAGGTCATGCAGAACCAAAGTTTGGAGTTTGAAGTTACAATATCAGGGTTGGGAATAAGAACCCCAATCTACACTGAAGTTCGTGTCCCAAAAATATGACATTTCAGGGTTTTCCCAGGTCACGCAGAACCAATTAGGTCTTGTTTGGAGTTACAATATCAGGGTTGGGAATAAGAAACCCAATCTACGCTGAAGTTTCGTGTCCCAAAAGTCAAATGCAGGATTTCGGATTTGAATAGGAAGTTGAGCAATTACTCGTTTAATGATTTCTCTCTCTAACAGGAAGTTGAGCACAAACTTCGTTGTTATATTCCTGTTCTGGCGCACTTAAACTGCTTTAAAGCATATAGCATTCCTTTATAAGGAAGGATCAAAGTGTGTTCCTATGGTATCATTGTCGTTTCCCGACAACTTACTATATTAAGGAACTCCATGGATGAAAAAAGATTTTATCGTAATTTTTTATTGAAATAGTTGACTCCTTACACCAAAAAAACGACGCAAACCAAGAAAAAATCTTTATGTTTTAAATCAGGGAAATTCTGTAATCATTAAGTTTATGATACCGTAGCTCAAAGGAATTGAGTCTACAGAACAAATTCAAATATTTAAACCTCAATATCTTTAGAACCCGATGTTGTAAACCTTTGATGTTTCAAACTCAGATTATTTGATCTAACAGAATTCATAGTTTGAAATATCTAAGGTCTGCAACATTTGGTTCCAAAGATATAGTAATTAGAAAATCAGAGTTTGTGGCAAAGACTCAATTCCTTTATTATGTTCGGTCCCCGGGCTGAATTACATATTAGAAAATCAAAAGTTACACACGGTCCCTTTTTGCAAAAGATAATCTGGAATGCAAAGACGACAAGATCTGTGTATTGTTGCTGTTGAATTCTGTTTAATATTCCTTAATAATAAATTGTTTTATAAGTTTCTGAAATACATCTTAGCTTTATGGCAACATTGAATTCATTTTACACTTATTTCAGATCCGGGGAATTTCAAGAATTTGAAAATAAAAGTTTTACTGCCCTCACCTCCCCCCC